AGAGCCGATCTCGGGCAGCATTGGACCCTTCGGCTTCCTCCGTCATTGCGACGAAACGCACCTCTTGGTTAATGCCGGGGCAATTTTGAGCCCAAGCATCTCGCGAAGAAGACCAGTTGAGTAGAGACATGGGCCAGAAGAATATGCAGCATGTCATCTGCAAAGCTCAAAGAGGCTCTCAACTCTTGACTACCCAGGCTTTAAACCTGCACTAGCAACGAAGCGGCTTAGCTGGAAGAGCATTTGAAGGCGATTGTAGCGACGGTGAGTGCAGTGATGCCATGCGGTAGGTATACATAGTCTAGACTCTAGACCGTACGCGAAAACAAAGAGAGACGCGAAAAGAGAAGCTTTCACCATCTGAGCATGACAATGGCGAGGATGATTAGGAGGAGCTGAATTGTCAGTTGGAAGTGGTTGTTCCTTGATTCAAAATTGTGTGCAGCAGAAGTAGTCGATGATGGCTGGAGTGAGAGACACGGACCGTTGAACCTGGTCACAAATAGCATGTGCAACCCAGCAGCCAGCATAGCATCCACACTAAGATCTGCGGACTGCAGTTGTGGCCGTACACCTGGCGAAATCTCCTGGCAAGCATTCGGATCGAGCGGATTCCACAGCACACCTATATGTTCCAGGACCTTGAGCTTGGAGGCCATGCTGGGTTTCCAGGGCCAGTGTGCACCCGCAGAGAGGTCGCAGAGCTTCCTGGTCTGATGTCTGAACCCGGCTGAACCCGTGCCCCATGACATCTCCTAGAGCGAGCGCCCGAAGTTCCATTTGTTCGTGTTTCCGTGTCGATCGGGCCGGTCTTAGCTAAGCTTGGTTTAAAAGCTGCATCGTAGTCTCGCCATGCAGCTAGGGCATGGATTCGGCGGCTCTCGAAGGTCATGAATTCGAAGCCCGTGTTTCGACACCCGCAGCCTCCTTCCAAAAAGGCACATCCCAGACTTCAGGGTCTTGCGGCTTGCGTTGCTGGCCCTGTGTGTTGAGATGCGTTGCTTCTTCGGATGCGGCTGCTCTGGTAGTGGTCGCATGCTGTGTGTAGATTGTGCTGATGCAGGTCGGGCTTGTCAGAGTGGTCCAAGCACGTTGCCGCCTTTCGCTAGAAACACGGATGGAACATTTCTGTGAAGGAGTAGGCATCCTGATAAAGAACCTGAACGTTGCTGTGCGAACGGCTCAGTGTGCTCGAATCGTGCTCTCACCACAATACCGCTCGTTTTTGTTGGGTGCGAGTCCCCTTCGCGCCACAGTGCCGTGCGTTTCCGCCTCCCAAAGTCGTGCTCCTGCCACGGCGCTGAATGCTGGGGTGCCAATCGGGCTCATACCATAGTCTGGTGCGCAATTTGGACTCATTGGGTCCCTTGAGATGGTTCCTGGGTAGCTGCTAGCTTCTCGGTCACTGTTTGGAAGCTACGCTGGCACAATCTGTGTGATGCTTCGACAGAAACATTTAGGCATTCAGAACCGAAATGTGCGCCAGCGCAAAATCTCTGCTTGAATAGGTGACCGAGCTTCCCGTCTGCAGCAGACAGAAATGGCCAGGGACTCTGCCACTCCATCAGCTCAACGTGATCATCGTCGTCATCCTCTTTAAAGCAATTCAGTCGTTGCTTCAATTGTGGAGTTCTGCGAACAGTATGCGGCTTCGTCTTCACCAAAGCACCTTCGTCGAGGCATCATGCCCGCCACCCGCCGCATCATCGGAGCCGGGGGCCTGATCCGATCGCTTGAAGGAATAGTTCCTGGAGCTCAGCGCACACTGTGCCTTAAGCCCAGAAGTGTCGATGTCGTCCTCGTAATGGTCCGCTGCGAGGCTCCTGGAATTGCAGCAGGCGGGAAGCGCGAGATCTCAGGCGGGCTGTCGTTTGGTGGTCCCCGACCTGCCAGGGCGCCCGGGCCAGCGAAGCCTTGGAGCCAAATTAGAGCGCAAGGATCCTCCCTGGCACTGGACACGCTGTGCCCTTCCTCCGCTGCGCCAGTGCCCTCTGGAAAGGGCGAAACGCCATGGAGGCGCTGATGCGCTACATGAAGCCCGCTTTGTTGTGCAGCCGGGTCGTGCTAGGTCTGGGCTGCGAAACTATCGGCATCGGGGGTGAGGCTGAGGGAGATATGGTGAGGCTTGCAAGACTTTCCAGGCTTTGAGCCGGAAGTTCCACGAGGACAAGGCGAAGCAGGGCGAAGGTGCGCGGCAAAGAGCATAATCGCTCCGCAGTTGAGCCACTCGTGTCTTGACCCGCGCCTCCGAAGAGTTTCCCTGATCTCTTCGCACGGAGATGCCTTCCTCACCTGGCCCCGACGGTGAAGGCGGCGGCCCTTTATTTACAGGCGTTGCAAATGTCGCGAGTGTTCGTCGAGTAAGGCTGAAACCATCAAGCCAGCACCCAGGTGTTCACAGACGGTCTTGGTCCACTCATACTGATCCATGTAGAATGGACCTTGGAGTGCAAGTGTGACACGAAAAGAAGACGGGAAGCTCGGCCGCTAGGGCCGCTAGGGCCGCTAGGGCCGCTGGGCATCTGGCAACACATCATCGGAACACCGCAGACTAAGGACTCCTCGGAGGCAAAAGCTTTCGTTTCTAGACTTCACCCAACGACTCCACAGACTCCAGTGCGATTCAGCTTCGGTGGTGCTGTTCGCACCCATGTGCGACAAGAAGCACCTGACCCTGCAGGGCATGCTGCACAGGGGCCAGCTACAAGTAGATATGGCTTGTGGCTTCAACAGATGAACTAACCAGGAGTTCTTCGTGGTGGTCTTACACCTTCTGTTGTTGTTTGCAAGCTTCTGCTTGCTAAAGCTCCAACGACATGCCCAAGCATTAGGACGAACCATGTGCGGCTTGCTCCATAGCTCACCACCCCGCCAGCTTATTCGGGCCACTTTGCTAATCTCTGGACAGAGCGCAGTATCGTTTCGTCAATCTCCCAGCTCCAGACAGGAAGACATTCACGTCCGACTCGGGCGGTTTCGCTTCACAGCATGCGTCACTTCGAATGCGAAGTCCGCCAAGGAGGTATGCTATCCCAGCCCACACCATGCATGCTTAAGTCCGCTGAAATGCTTCAAGCTGAAGGTTCTTGCTGACACTCTAGCTCCCTGGCAGCACACCACAGCCACAAAAGATCATTGTGATGCTTTGCATCGAGCAACGCATGTCAACTTCGGTGCCCCCGCCTGTTGCTCTTGAGCACGTCGGCCTGCAGCAGCGATGGCATTGCATGAAGGAATGGCACGGGTCAAAGATGTGATGGTGGATGATGATGGGCTTGGTTGTTTGAGCATCTGATCTGCAATCGACTTCTGCTTAAGCGTCATGCAAAGCTCGACATGTGCCCAAGCCTGTGGAACAAATTTCTCCACTCGCCAACGACCAGGATTGTAGTGGGGGAGGTGCTGCTGCAGCTCCTCTGGCAGAACCTGCTGGTGATACTAAGGTTGATACTTATGCTTCGGTAGTCATGTCGTCCTGACAACGACGACCAGGAGAACGACAACTCCGAACGTCGACTCCTGCTGCCGCTATCAGAAACTATAACCACCACGGCTACTCCTACTCCTACGAATACTACGACGACTAACTACGACTACTACGACTACGACTACGACGACGACGACGACGTCCACGACCACGACCTCGACCACGACCACGAACACGACCACCACCACCAGCACCAACCCCACCACTACTGCTACTGCTGCTGCTGCTGCTGCTGTTGCTGCTGCTGCTCCTGCTCCTGCTACTGCTACTGACTGCTACTGCTGCTGCTCCTGCTGCTGCTCCTGCTTCTGCTCCTGCTCCTGCTCCTGCTCCTGCTACTGCTACTGACTGCTACTGCTGCTGCTCCTGCTCCTACTCCTACTGCTGCTACTGCTGCTGCTGCTGCTACTATTACTACTACTACTACTAGTAGTAGTAGTAGTAGTAGTAGTACTACTACTACTACTACTACTGCTGATGTGCTGCTTCTGCTGCTACTGCCACTG